AAAAAGTATTGAACACATGAAGAAAGGGAGGTGCAAAAAGGCATGGAAAGCCAAGACACCAGCTGAAATCTATCAGCAATTAGAAAGCAATCCTGCAACTAGTCAGTGGAAATTAATATTAGTTGGCTCAGTCCCAACTAATGGCCTATAAAAAGGTGTCACATGACCAACGTCTCACACAAGAAACATTTCATGATGGGTAAAAGCAAAGAGCTTTCTCAAAACCTTCACAACCTTATTGTTGCAAAACATACTAATGGCATTTGTTAGAGAAGGATTTCTATACTTCTGAATGCTCCAGTGAGCTCTGTTGGGGCCATAATCCGGAAGTGGAAAGAACATAATTTCACCATAAACCGGCCACAACCAGGTGCTCCTCACAAGATTTCTGTCAGAGTAGTGAAAATAATTATCAGAAGAGTTGTCCAAGAGCCAAGGATCACTTGTGGAGAGCTTCAGAAAGACCTGGAATTAGAAAATAATAAGTAATGCACTCAACCGCCATGGCCTGTATGCACTACTAGTTTCTCCATACAGGAGGCGTCTTGAAGCTGTCATTACCAACAAAGGCTTTTGTACGAAGTATTAAATAAATTTCAGTAAGCGTGTTCAATACTTTTTCCCTGGGTCATTCCATTTTATTACACAGAACTTCATTTCTGAACTTATTTGTATTGTTTTCTTTGTATGTATAGATTAGTTGGTTTGTTACCGACATCTGGTAAAAATGTCATGTCAACAGCACCTTTAGAAATACATTTACTGAGAAAAATGGTGATGTGTTCAACGCGTATTTTACCCGCTATATGTTACATCTGATCAAATGCACATTAACATTCTTTTGCTTGGGTTGAACACATCATTTTTTGCTTAGTTGGAACATCAGCTACACTATTTTTTCTCTATTTGCTTCTCTGTTTCTGCCACGGGATTGACATCCCATGGTAACTAGGAGTTACACAAGCTTCAGTCTGGATCCAGCCCTTACAAAGATCTGAGATGACCGAACACCTGAGAAGAGATGATGCCAACCCCTCAGAGGACCTCAGATGATGCCAACCCTCAGACAACATACAAAACTACCAAATTTTGCTATAAGTTTGATCGCAACATATAATCATTGCTGTTAATAGTGTTCACCGTCTGTTTGATTACATGACATTAACTAACTGCTTGATTTTTACCGTACATTTCTGCCATATGGACATCAACTTGAGATAGTCACCACTGATAAGCTATTACTAAATATAATGTAGAACTTTAATTTTCTGTAAAGCTGCTTTGCAACGATTTGCATCGTGAAAAGCGCTATACAAATAAACTTGAATTGAATTGAAAATATTATGATAGTGTGTTTTGAGCATTTTCATGATCTGACAAATAAGTTTGTCTTTATGGATGAGTTTTTAAATATCAATAAATATAAATCAATTAATCATTCAGTTTTTACACACTGCACAAGCAAAGTTCAGATCTGTCCTGCTCTCAGCAGTATTAGGCAGTGGTTTCTCTACAAATGCAAATGCAAAAAAGAAACAACAACATTACATTACCACTCCACTACTGAGAAATGTCATGTAGCGTTTCAGTAGCCAGCTTGTGAATCACCAGGCCTCATTGAAAATGAATAATGTCTGTTCACTTTGTTGCAGCAAATCACTGTCATGTCAACCCCCCTTGTTCTACTGAAAATAATTGAAATCATTTGTCAAAGTGATATTTAATTAAATTTGGTCAAAGACCTGCAAACAAGACAAGCATAATCAACATGACATTATAACAGAATCAAGCACTCAGTGTTATAATTACTAACCCGCAATTCTAGTACTGATATTCACAACAACAGCACTCCAGCTCATGCAAAATTGCTTCATTGTTTAATTTTACCAGCATCACTTATTCATATCTACTATACTATTTATATACTATTTTGTCCATTAAGTGTTAGTCTTCTATTATTTAAGCATCAGTTGGAACAATGCACTTTAAATGTTCAGTCAATGTTCAGATGAAGCTGGTCTATTTTCACGTGAGTCTAAGATCCCAACCTCCACCACCAAAACCCAGTCTGTCTAGCGTACAAGCCAAAATTCACAATCAAGCCACATCCACAACTAAAATCTAGTCTTTAAAATCGTGAGACGAGAACATTATGAGGGTTTTTCACGGAGTTGGCAGCAAGTCTTCACTTAATAGTTGAATTATTTACATGAACATTTAGGTTTTGCACAAAGTGACTGACTGATTTATAAGATCACATCAACTGAAGTTTCCAGTAATGCTTTACTTTGCATATACAGTCAGCCAACACAAAACCAGTGTATAGTTCCCATTTGGCTATATTTGCAGCTAATTCATAGATTAAGAAAACCTATATAGTCCTGAGGATTCTGTGGCAAACAAGTTATACAGAACGCTATGTTCAGGTTTTATTTTCATAACGTAAAGTGTAAAATGTTGGGTAACAGTTTCAAAACAACAACCCAATAACCTTTACATTAGCCTACTAAAAACGAAACGTTATGCATTGCTTCGCTTCCTCGTGAGACACTGCATTTAAGCAATTCACAGGAAGATTTACAAAAGAAATTCGAAAATAAGAGCAGTTAATTCACAACACATTCTCCTCCATACCTGTCTCCGAGAAATCCGGTCGAATTCAACCATGCAAAAATGACTCGCTTTAAATGGAATTGTAAACCGAGCGAGAGAATGAAGCAAAAATAAGTATAACCGCACTTCACTCAAATAAAGAGTTGCATTTTTAGAAGATTAGGCATATGCAGTTGAAACATTTTATTTATAGGCTGCAAACGCTGCGCACCTGTAACAGCAAACATTGCGCTGCAGCTACTCACCTACTGACAAATATCGCGATTACTTCCAATGCATCGCTTTTATTCTGACCATTATCGGTGTCCAGCAGCTCCCATGGTCAAATGATGAGTCAAATCCAGCGCATCTGCATGTGAAATGAACAAGTGCCAGCACGAGAAGTTGCTCAGTTTCAGCCTCTGCATTCCAAATCCCCCAAAAATACTCGATTGCAATGACGCTAGACAGAAATGAAACGTTTCTTCTCCACCAGAATAATCAGAGAGAACTGAGGCGATGGGGCGGGAGGAGAGAGACCCCCGTGACAGAATAATTCAAATGCACAGAGGATAATGCGGAGATGAGTGAAGGGGGATGGGAGAGGATTAAGTGGAAATGGGGAATCAGAAGCCCACCCTTACATACATAACACACATGCCCAAGTCATTTCATTTGTATATTTTTTGTGTTGTTTTATGTAGGCTAGTGTAATCGTGTAATGAAGTAGCAGAGTCTATAAACTGTAAGGATAATGTTCAGTTTGCTGTCCATCCTAAAATTGGCAGGAGTGATGCAGACAGTCAGTGAAGCGTCCTTCTCTCTCCAGCTGGCTGGCTGGAGTTGGCAATAGTTAATAGAATTTTAAGACCCTCATTAAAATCTGGATCAGATGCCTAATTTTATCTATGCATACAGTACATTAATGAGGTATTCTCACATATGATTCTTTATATGTATGTATGCATGTATGTTTCTGTATTTAGTGTTAAAATAAAAAGACTAGGGTGTCATTGAGTTCACAATGATTGGTCACTTCTGTTGTAATATTTGCAATGACTGTCGCAATGTATGTCTGGAGACACTGCATTTAAGCAATTCACAGGAAGATTTACAAAAGAAATTCGAAAATAAGAGCAGTTAATTCACAACACATTCTCCTCCATACCTGTCTCCGAGAAATCCGGTCGAATTCAACCATGCAAAAATGACTCGCTTTAAATGGAATTGTAAACCGAGCGAGAGAATGAAGCAAAAATAAGTATAACCGCACTTCACTCAAATAAAGAGTTGCATTTTTAGAAGATTAGGCATATGCAGTTGAAACATTTTATTTATAGGCTGCAAACGCTGCGCACCTGTAACAGCAAACATCGCGCTGCAGCTACTCACCTACTGACAAATATCGCGATTACTTCCAATGCATCGCTTTTATTCTGACCATTATCGGTGTCCAGCAGCTCCCATGGTCAAATGATGAGTCAAATCCAGCGCATCTGCATGTGAAATGAACAAGTGCCAGCATGAGAAGTTGCTCAGTTTCAGCCTCTGCATTCCAAATCCCCCAAAAATACTCGATTGCAATGACGCTAGACAGAAATGAAACGTTTCTTCTCCACCAGAATAATCAGAGAGAACTGAGGCGATGGGGCGGGAGGAGAGAGACCCCCGTGACAGAATAATTCAAATGCACAGAGGATAATGCGGAGATGAGTGAAGGGGGATGGGAGAGGATTAAGTGGAAATGGGGAATCAGAAGCCCACCCTTACATACATAACACACATGCCCAAGTCATTTCATTTGTATATTTTTTGTGTTGTTTTATGTAGGCTAGTGTAATCGTGTAATGAAGTAGCAGAGTCTATAAACTGTAAGGATAATGTTCAGTTTGCTGTCCATCCTAAAATTGGCAGGAGTGATGCAGACAGTCAGTGAAGCGTCCTTCTCTCTCCAGCTGGCTGGCTGGAGTTGGCAATAGTTAATAGAATTTTAAGACCCTCATTAAAATCAGGATCAGATGCCTAATTTTATCTATGCATACAGTACATTAGTGAGGTATTCTGACATATGATTCTTTATATGTATGTATGCATGTATGTTTCTGTATTTAGTGTTAAAATAAAAAGACTAGGGTGTCATTGAGTTCACAATGATTGGTCACTTCTGTTGTTAATATTTGCAATGACTGTCGCAATGTATGTCTGATCCATTTTTTTTTAAAGCAGGGACACATGACTGACATGTTGCTTCTAACATATAAACACTAATCCAAACATTAACACATGGTTGCAATCCCAGTTGTCTGTTTTGTCTCTAACAGTGATGTCAGTGTGTTAAACACGTGCTTTTGGTTTTTACTGAATCCTGCCGAATTGAAATTATATTTTTTTAATCATATATTTTTTAAAATATATTTCAAATATATTCTCAATAAATGCACGAACCAACACTATTTTTTAATTTGTCTATTATTCCTAATTTGATTCCATTTTTCATTGTGTTCCTTACAATTTTTTTGTACAACAATCTCACAAAATATTACAAAATTCAGACAATCAGTGCAGACAAACAAACCATGCAATGAATTATTTGATTGTGAAAGAAGAACATTTAGAGAGCAATTACTAATAAATAAATAAATAAATAAATAAAAAGCTTGAAAAAGTCATATGGCTTGAAAAAAACCTACATTGTTCTGGAAAGTTTATTAAGACCCATTGTGGAGCGTTTCTGGCAATAAGCGCATCTTATAAGAAATAAATGAGCAATATCCTCTCTTTGGCAGTTGTGTCACCCATGTAAATAATCAGTGTCTATTTAAATTCATCTGCACTGTGAAATTGTCATTGATGGAAAGGAACTGACCCTTGACTCTGCCTCCTTGCAAATTTTGCTGCTCCTTTGTTCCAATTCATAGTGGCTGTGTTATACAAAAACCTAGTGTATGGCTTTCCATACCACACTAACATATTAGATACAGTGTATCACCTATACTGTTGGGATACACAGTTTAGAGATAACAGCAATACAACACCCTCACAGCAAGCAAATGTTTAGTCTACTTAACACTGCCTTTTCTTTAAAGTATATGTCACTTATGCAGCCCAATTCCATGGGCCAGGAAAAGGTTTTCCAAACGCTCCAGACAAACTCACTTCACACCATTGGGTAAGAAGTTGACCTGTCAACTGCTTCAACAAACAGAACGAGCATTTAAACTTGCCTGTGTAACTTAATATCAGTCTTTGAAGTTCTACGGTACATGGCCGTTTGGAGAAAGACATCCCAACAGTTTTACTCACATTTATCATAAGACATGATTGATACAGCCATTTAGTAACATGGCTCATTGCTCTAGTGAGTTTGGAGGCAACAACCTCACTAGACCAACCATGCACATAAATTACAGTGTCATCTGCTTGAAGCTGGAATTCTACATCAGGACAAATAGAAGGCAAATGATTGATGTACAAACGAAATAAAAGTGGTCCAAGTACGGATCCCTGTGGAACACCGCGTAGTAGTATTAAAAACAGAGGAAGCGTGACTATAAACTGTCACATTTTGTGTTCTTCTTCTTAAATATGACTCCATCCATTGGTTGAAAAATTAAAAGTATCATTTTTTTAATAAGTACTGAATGGTTTACTTGATGCTGTTGTAGTGCAGTTAGAGCAAGAGGTACCTTTGGACCCAAACGCAACAAGTCAGCTGCCTAAGCTTTCGAATGAAGCCTTCATACTATATGTCTCCCTCTAACACACCTGAGTGAACTCATCAACTCATCAGCAGAGATTTCGAGACCTGAACTGTGTGTGTGCAGTGGTGAGGGGCCTTCAGGACAGGTTTGGGAAACACTGCTCTAGTGTGACATTTCACTTGAAGCCCAGCCGCCTCATCTGACCCTTTCTTGTGGGCAGCAGCAGTTGCACCCAAAACATTCATCTCAGCTTATAGCACTGTAGTAAGTGTGTTGAATTTGGAGGGGCAGTGGCTCAGTCTGAGAAAAAAGGGAACCATACTTTCATTCTACATACACAACCATACTTTCACATGTCTCTTATAATCCTAGACTGCAAATGACAAAGTAAAGAGAACAAACACAGAAGGCTCTTCTCATTATACACCTTCATCTTCTCTGAGCATTCCAGTATGCAAATATTTTCATGACACGGTTGCCTAATGAAGAAAGAGATCAACATGATTCATATTCAAAATGGCAAGCACGTTCTGCTGCTTTGTCTACACTATGTATATCCGCAGTTCTAGTTCCAGTTTCCCTTTTTGAATGCCGAATTCAGACTACTGCAACCTGCTGGTATGGAAAGTTATTTACAAATTGTATATGTGCTAGTTGGCCGTTGGCTGTAGTCTTTGCGGTGTGTTCAAGTGCAATTTTTTGACCCAGACACAGGCGACATCAGCCAGCAATGAAGTCAGCTTTAGTCACCGCTAATTCTTTGATGTTGGCTTGGTGTGTCACAGCCTTTATAGTTCAGTGTGTCATACTAAAGCCCTCACATTGTTCTGTCATATCCTTATTTGAGAAACTTTGGAAGATTTGCAGCACTCCAATCTTCCTACCCACATGCATAGACCGGATCAGCTTGCTCACATGTTGGATCTGGCTCAAAAAGACATACCACACCACTGTATTTTTTTCAGGATGCTCCAATGATGTGTGCAGAACATTAAGCAGCATCAGCGGTTTCATTTGCAGAAGTCTGGCATAGATACCTTTGCTTTTGTCCCTCCTGCTGGCCCTGTTATAAGAAGACAGTCTGCAGTCCTCAAAAGTAATTAGAAGAAGTAGCAGAATTTGGTGCTCAATTAAGTCCAACTGAGGTGTGAGGTACATTTTTTCCTGTTGTATGAGATGTGGTGCTTGTTTCTGAGTGTGTTCTGTGTTTGTTTCTCCATTTCTGCACCCACTGTCCACTCGACAGGATTCACCGGATCTGTGCTTGTTAAGATGTGGAAGAAAACACAGAAAATGTGTGAGCAGAATATGAAAGGTGAAATGATGTTTCTGAAAATTCTCTGTTACACTTCACACCTCCCCATCCCTAAAGCCCTCCCACCTCCTGGCAGTGAATGGCAAGAGTGTTTATCCTGTGATCCATGTTATGGCTTTTAGGAGGGGATTTGTAAGAGAAACACTAGTAAGCCTCTTTCCTGCCAGTTTTAATGGCATATTAAAGTACCAGTTAATGCTGAAGTGTCATAGTGAAAGGTTAGGGCACAATTTACATTTTATAAGTGACATGATGTGCAACTAGTACATGATAGATAATGATATTGCTGGAAAATAACATGGACATGTAGCAGTCTAATGGAACTCGACTATACACAGTTTATCTAGGCAATTTATTTATGCATATATTTAAGCTATTTTTGTATCAAATGAACTAAATTTCATTACTGAGTGAGTAAATAAAGCTTATAGTATTTATTTATATTTAAAAGTGTCAGTCAGATTTACAGGGAAAGTGTATGCGTTTGCCATTAACTAATTGATCTTACTTTCTTTTTTGTTATATATCTTCTTTCTTATATATATATAT